CAAGCTTTTTAAATGGCAAAAACCGATTACGCTGATGTAGGGATGTCTTGTATTGTAATATAATACAAAAATACAGTCAATTTTAAAATGCATGCATTTACTTTGCTTGTGGTTTTCAATTTCTGATTAATTACAGTGTATGAACTTTATAATGGTATTAATGCAAAATTTTATTTAATACATTTATTAAATTTTAAAGCAAAATTAAGATTTGTTTTCAACGTTTTTTTTCTTTTTCCATTTGCAAATGTTTCTTGATTGAATAATAAACCACTAGATGTTATTAGATTTATGCTTTAAAAAAGAACGAAAATGTTGCCTGAAGTAAATGCGTCTTATTTTAAGGATGTTTTTTTTATTACTATAAAACAACACAAGATTATTAATAAAATGCTTTTTTGTGTTCATTAAAAAAGGGGGGGATTGGATTTTTTTTTAGATTTTACTTCCTTAAACAACACTTTTAAAATTAATTGGCTTAAAAATTCCCTCTTCACTTTGGAATATTATCCCGTTATATTTTTTCAAAAGTAGGTGGCCTGAATTTTCTCTTGTTCCTGCCGGAGATTCAGTCCAGCTGAAATCTGTCGTCCAGAGTTACTGTCAGGAATGTTTGTTCTGGATGAAAATGCTCAGGATTGACTCATTACGTATTATCTCATGGCTTTCTTCTCAGAGGTCTAAAAAGCGAGGATCTTTCCAGGCTCAGTTTGGAAAAGAAAACAAGCATACTGCTAAATATTTACTGAATACTGCAAATTATTATTTTTAATATGAAAAGTATGTACAATGCAACAGAACAACTATAGTATGCCACAATGCTGTCACGTTACTTAATTCACGTTTTGTCATTTATGCATTTAATTTGCTTTTAGTTTTAATTTTTTTTATATTTACAGTATATATGAACTATAATTTTATTAATGCTAAATATTATTTAATACATCTGTTGTTAACACTTTAGAATAAGATTTCATTAGAGCCTGATTGCAGCAACTTTTATTTTTAGTAAATTTCCCAGGAAGTGATGATTTTGTTCTCTTGAACGCATGGGATGGAATCGCTGCTTTATTTGCAAATGTTATATATTCCAATTTTGCAAACAAATTAAATTCACAACTTTAGAGGGACACATAGCTAGTGTGGTGTGCTATTCCAAACATTGCCAACATGGAAAGTCCCTCATACTACAAAGACATGGACATTCTCCTGATTTGTGGGTTGGCGCACAAGTTGATAGGAAAGCTGCTTTAGTAACATGCTCTACTACGGTATAGCAGGGTAAACCTGTAATCTACTACGGTATAGCAGGGTAAACCTGTAATCTACTACGGTATAGCAGGGTAAACCTGTAATCTGCTACAGTATAGCAGGGTAAACCTGTAATCTACTACAGTATAGCAGGGTAAACCTGTAATCTACTACGGTATAGCAGGGTAAACCTGTAATCTGCTACAGTATAGCAGGGTAAACCTGTAATCTACTACGGTATAGCAGGGTAAACCTGTAATCTGCTACGGTATACGGTATAGCAGGGTAAACCTGTAATCTACTACGGTATAGCAGGGTAAACCTGTAATCTACTACGGTATAGCAGGGTAAACCTGTAATCTGCTACGGTATAGCAGGGTAAACCTGTAATCTGCTACGGTATAGCAGGGTAAACCTGTAATCTGCTACGGTATAGCAGGGTAAACCTGTAATCTACTACGGTATAGCAGGGTAAACCTGTAATCTGCTACGGTATAGCAGGGTAAACCTGTAATCTGCTACGGTATAGCAGGGTAAACCTGTAATCTACTACGGTATAGCAGGGTAAACCTGTAATCTACTACGGTATAGCAGGGTAAACCTGTAATCTGCTACAGTATAGCAGGGTAAACCTGTAATCTACTACAGTATAGCAGGGTAAACCTGTAATCTACTACGGTATAGCAGGGTAAACCTGTAATCTGCTACAGTATAGCAGGGTAAACCTGTAATCTACTACGGTATAGCAGGGTAAACCTGTAATCTGCTACGGTATACGGTATAGCAGGGTAAACCTGTAATCTACTACGGTATAGCAGGGTAAACCTGTAATCTACTACGGTATAGCAGGGTAAACCTGTAATCTGCTACGGTATAGCAGGGTAAACCTGTAATCTGCTACGGTATAGCAGGGTAAACCTGTAATCTGCTACGGTATAGCAGGGTAAACCTGTAATCTACTACGGTATAGCAGGGTAAACCTGTAATCTGCTACGGTATAGCAGGGTAAACCTGTAATCTGCTACGGTATAGCAGGGTATAGCAGGGTAAACCTGTAATCTACTACGGTATAGCAGGGTAAACCTGTAATCTGCTACGGTATAGCAGGGTAAACCTGTAATCTGCTACGGTATAGCAGGGTAAACCTGTAATCTGCTACGGTATAGCAGGGTAAACCTGTAATCTACTACGGTATAGCAGGGTAAACCTGTAATCTGCTACGGTATAGCAGGGTAAACCTGTAATCTGCTACGGTATAGCAGGGTAAACCTGTAATCTACTACGGTATAGCAGGGTAAACCTGTAATCTGCTACGGTATAGCAGGGTAAACCTGTAATCTGCTACGGTATAGCAGGGTAAACCTGTAATCTACTACGGTATAGCAGGGTAAACCTGTAATCTACTATGGTATAGCAGGGTAAACCTGTAATCTGCTACGGTATAGCAGGGTAAACCTGTAATCTGCTACGGTATAGCAGGGTAAACCTGTAATCTGCTACGGTATAGCAGGGTAAACCTGTAATCTGCTACGGTATAGCAGGGTAAACCTGTAATCTGCTACGGTATAGCAGGGTAAACCTGTAATCTACTACGGTATAGCAGGGTAAACCTGTAATCTATTACAGTATAGCAGGGTAAACCTGTAATCTGCTACGGTATAGCAGGGAAAACCTGTAATCTACTACGGTATAGCAGGGTAAACCTGTAATCTGCTACGGTATAGCAGGGTAAACATGTAATCTACTACCATACAATCTGCTACGGTATAGCAGGGTAAACCTGTAATCTGCTACGGTATAGCAGGGTAAACCTGTAATCTACTACGGTATAGCAGGGTAAACCTGTAATCTTCTACGGTATAGCAGGGTAAACCTGTAATCTGCTACGGTATAGCAGGGTAAACCTGTAATCTGCTACGGTATAGCAGGGTAAACCTGTAATCTACTACGGTATAGCAGGGTAAACCTGTAATCTGCTACGGTATAGCAGGGTAAACCTGTAATCTACTACGGTATAGCATGGTAAACCTGTAATCTACTACGGTATAGCAGGGTAAACCTGTAATCTACTACTGTATAGCAAGGTAAACCTGTAATCTGCTACGGTATACGGTATAGCAGGGTAAACCTGTAATCTACTACGGTATAGCAGGGTAAACCTAGAATCTACTGCGGTATAGCAGGGTAAACCTGTAATCTACTACGGTATAGCAGGGTAAACCTGTAATCTACTACTGTATAGCAGGGTAAACCTAGAATCTACTGCGGTATAGCAGGGTAAACCTGTAATCTGCTACGGTATAGCAGGGTAAACCTGTAATCTACTACGGTATAGCAGGGTAAACCTGTAATCTGCTACGGTATAGCAGGGTAAACCTGTAATCTGCTACGGTATAGCAGGGTAAACCTGTAATCTGCTACAGTATAGCAGGGTAAACCTGTAATCTACTACTGTATAGCAAGGTAAACCTGTAATCTGCTACGGTATACGGTATAGCAGGGTAAACCTGTAATCTGCTACGGTATAGCAGGGTAAACCTAGAATCTGCTACGGTATAGCAGGGTAAACCTGTAATCTACTACGGTATAGCAGGGTAAACCTGTAATCTACTACTGTATAGCAGGGTAAACCTAGAATCTACTGCGGTATAGCAGGGTAAACCTGTAATCTACTACGGTATAGCAGGGTAAACCTGTAATCTACTGCGGTATAGCAGGGTAAACCTGTAATCTACTACGGTATAGCAGGGTAAACCTGTAATCTACTACTGTATAGCAGGGTAAACCTAAAATCTACTACGGTATAGCAGGGTAAACCTGTAATCTGCTACGGTATTGCAGGGTAAACCTGTAATCTGCTACGGTATAGCAGGGTAAACCTGTAATCTACTACGGTATAGCAGGGTAAACCTGTAATCTATTACAGTATAGCAGGGTAAACCTGTAATCTGCTACGGTATAGCAGGGAAAACCTGTAATCTACTACGGTATAGCAGGGTAAACCTGTAATCTGCTACGGTATAGCAGGGTAAACCTGTAATCTACTGCGGTATAGCAGGGTAAACCTGTAATCTGCTACGGTATAGCAGGGTAAACCTGTAATCTGCTACGGTATAGCAGGGTAAACCTGTAATCTACTACGGTATAGCAGGGTAAACCTGTAATCTGCTCGGACCACAGATGAGGTACTGATGGGGAAAAAACAGAACAGTTCTGACTAAAGAAATTACTGGAAATTATTGATATAGTTCAAAACTAATAAACAAAACTGCAACAAAACACTCAATGAAGTTTCATATTCAATACAATGTAAGCTAAGGTGTTATGTTATTTATAAATGAATTGACCAGTTTTGAAGATGCAAATGAATTGATGAATCATAGCTCTGAATCAGTTCACTGAAAAAGACAGTTTGAACTGAATTGAATCAAACCTACCAACTCAAACACTGCTTTTGCTACTGAATTTTAAATCAGAGATGCTATTAAACTATATTACAGTCACACCAATAACAAAAAAGAGAACAGAAAAAGTGCTATATAACTGCTTCATTCATAGTACAAAGGCACAGCCTTCAGGAAACATAATGTTAAAATAAAATCATTGCAATGTTTATATCAAATACTGCTACTGTCTGTCAATGCAAACGTCAATGCTCATCAAAATATGATGATCCACCAGTATTCTGAGCCTTCAAATGGAAATCATTGACATTCACTGCATCTATTACACACACACACACACGTTACCTGTCCCTGCATGCGTGTCCTGAGCTGTGCTGATCCTGCTTTGGGTTTACTCCGGCTTCGGATCAGAGCCTGCACAGTTATTCCTCCTCTGGGATCCTAATGCTGCTGTTTACTCAGAGCTGAAATCATAAGAGTACACAGGGACATGAATGGCCTAAATACATGTGTTAGTTACTGCAGTCTGACGTCGAGTGAGGAGCTTCAGCAGGAGCAGGGGTGGATGGTGGGAACAAGTGCTTTTCTCATGGTGCCAATCATTTTATATCAGCATAACATACATAATGAAGTTTTCTTTTAGCAGTAAGTCAGAGGAATTTTTTTTAATATTTTGATAAACATGCAATATAAACACCCTTCGCTCTATATAAACACACACATCTACAAAAATAGGTTATTATTGTATAAATAAATATTATAGTAAAAAATTCTAGTAAATAAATCCATTTATTGAAAAAAAAAATTTAGTTGCACAGTCATTTTTAATATTTACAAATATATATATATACACATATATATGTATATATATCACACATTGTCATGTGAACAATCAGTTAGTAGAAACAGATTAACATTCATGAAACACAAGTACACAAAACTGGCTTAGTTTAAAGACAGACGTCATTGCAAATAAGTTAACTTGTACTTCAGCAAGTGATTCAGGTGTTGATTCGGTAGAATCTGCGACTGATTCAGTGCAAAGATTCATCTAACGGTGATTCAGGTGTTGATTCGGTAGAATCTGTGACTGATTCAGTGCAAAGATTCATCGAACGGTGATTCAGGTGTTGATTCGGTAGAATCTGTGACTGATTCAGTGCAAAGATTCATCGAACGGTGATTCAGGTGTTGATTCGGTAGAATCTGTGACTGATTCAGTGCAAAGATTCATCGAACGGTGATTCAGGTGTTGATTTGGTAGTGTCTGTAACTGATTCAGTGCAAAGATTCATCTAACAGTGATTCAGGTGTTGATTCGGTAGCGCCTGTAACTGATTCAGTGCAATGATTCATCTAACAGTGATTCAGGTGTTGATTCGGTAGAATCTGTGACTGATTCAGTGCAAAGATTCATCTAACAGTGATTCAGGTGTTGATTCGGTAGCGCCTGTAACTGATTCAGTGCAATGATTCATCTAACAGTGATTCAGGTGTTGATTCGGTAGAATCTGTGACTGATTCAGTGCAAAAATTCATCTAACAGTGATTCAGGTGTTGATTCTGTAGAATCTGTGACTGATTCAGTGCAAAGATTCATCGAACGGTGATTCAGGTGTTGATTTGGTAGTGTCTGTAACTGATTCAGTGCAAAGATTCATCTAACAGTGATTCAGGTGTTGATTCGGTAGCGCCTGTAACTGATTCAGTGCAAAGATTCATCGAACGGTGATTCAGGTGTTGATTCGGTAGAATCTGTGACTGATTCAGTGCAAAGATTCATCTAACAGTGATTCAGGTGTTGATTCGGTAGCGCCTGTAACTGATTCAGTGCAATGATTCATCTAACAGTGATTCAGGTGTTGATTCGGTAGAATCTGTGACTGATTCAGTGCAAAAATTCATCTAACAGTGATTCAGGTGTTGATTCTGTAGAATCTGTGACTGATTAAGTGCAAAGATTCATCTAACGGTTTCAAATCAGATCTTTTTGAATGATGCATCAAAAGAACCGGTTCACCAGAATCATGTTTTCTTGAATCAGACCACACTGTTCACTCTGTATGTTTTTGATCTGTCTCATAGGAATCATTTGCTTGTGAATTGTTTCAATGTATGTTTGTTTTCAAATATAAAAACAAATGCAAACACCGTAGAGCAAACTTTACAGCAAACTCTCTACGAGTCTACATTACCACCGCACAAATTCACTGTAAGTGTGATCATGCACAGGATGGTCATACTGGATGAAGATTGGATCTTAACAGAAAACCCGTGGGCAAATCACCACCTCTCCCCTCCTACACACACTCACACAAACTCATTCATTTTGCAGGGGGAGCGATTGTTAAGAACAGCGAGTGTAAATCCTGCAAATACGGCTGGTGGTTTGTGGGAGTATGAGGTGAGTCATAATAACACTGATGCAGCAGCCGGCTAAAAAAAGACTGCGGAGACGGAAGGAATACACACACACACACACACTGTGATGCCGTGCATCAGTTCGACGTCACAGCGCCGCAGGGCCCATGATCTCAGGAGACTCAGAGCCCCGGGGAACCGGCATCACGCAGACCCACTCCAAACGTGTTTGATAAAGAGACGCTGACATCCCAAGTGTTCTTTTTTTCTCTAAAGTCTTCATTAAAAAGTTATAAGCCATGAACCAAACCAATCAGCTACGAGGAGAACCACAATTACAACTACAAACTTTGATTTGAAGCAAAAAAAAGTTTGAAAATACAGAAAGACAAAGGAACAAGACTGTGTACTTTTTGAAAACGATGAATGGATGGACGGACGGACTTTTTGAAAACGATGGATGGATGGACGGACGGATGGACTTTTAAAAAAAAAGATGGATGGATGGATGGATGTACTTTTTGAAAACGATGGATGGATGGATGGATGGACTTTTTGAAAACGATGGATGGATGGATGGACTTTTTGAAAACGATGGATGGATGGACTTTTAAAAAAAAGGATGGATGATGGATGGATGGATGTACTTTTTGAAAACGATGGATGGATGGATGGATGGACGGATGGACTTTAAAAAAAAAAGATGGATGGATGGACGGACGGACTTTTTGAAAACGATGGATGGATGGACTTTTTAAAAAAAGGATGGATGATGGATGGATGGATGGACTTTTTAAAAAAAGGATGGATGATGGATGGATGGATGTACTTTTTGAAAACGATGGATGGATGGATGGATGGATGGATGGACTTTTTGAAAACGATGGATGGATGGATGGACGGACTTTTTGAAAACGATGGATGGACGGACGGACTTTTTGAAAACGATGGATGGATGGACTTTTTAAAAAAAGGATGGATGATGGATGGATGGATGGACTTTTTGAAAACGATGGATGGATGGACTTTAAAAAAAAAGGATGGATGGATGGATGTACTTTTTGAAAACGATGGATGGATGGACGGACGGATGGACTTTTTAAAAAAAAGATGGATGGATGGATGGATGTACTTTTTGAAAACGATGGATGGACTTTTTGAAAACGATGGATGGATGTTTTGAAAACGATGGATGGATGGACTTTTTGAAAACGATGGATGGACTTTTTGAAAACGATGGATGGATGGACTTTTTGAAAACGATGGATGGATGTTTTGAAAACGATGGATGGATGTTTTGAAAACGATGGATGGATGTTTTGAAAACGAAGGATGGATGGATGGATGATATATTACATGCGTAATGTTTTGCAAATGTTTATCTTTGCCTCAACAACTTCATCAGTTTGTAAGAAATGTTTTTTTTAAGTGTTTTTCCCATTCATTCTTCATGCAAAATATGCATATAAATACAAATATTTAAGTTTGAGAGCATTTGGTAATTCGAAGGTACTTTTGCCACGGTTCTCTGATTGGTAGAGACTTCTCTGCAGAATCATGGGTAATGAAGTCTTCCAACCAGGATAGTCCACTGTTAAATTTTGTTGTTCAAATAACACAGATTGATTGATGGCTGCATCAAAAGCATATACCATCGATTAACAACCTTATAGATCACAGAAGGTCTGTCTTTAATGGTTTATAAATTATCGTTCAAATCAATTCCCCTATGGAGAACATAAATGGGATTTTTACTTCCAGAACTTGACTCGATTAAAAGAAAAGAGGAGCAGGGAAAATGCTTCAGCTCAGTTCTGATGACAGAGATCGCAGAGCGACAACAGAGGACACGAGAGGAGCGACTCCAGCAGCTGATGCTCCACAGCAGAACTACAAGCCATGAAGATGATGATGATGATGATGATGCACATTACAGGAGACGGACCCTCACACATCATTATAATGACACAGCCACGACACGACTCAAGATTACTGGCACTTCCAGCTCTTTTCTCTCCCTCCCCCCCCACGCTCTTAAAGCTCTGACACATAATCAATACTTTACATTGGCACTTCCATTAGCTGCTGCGGCCTACACACACACACACACACACACACACACACAAACCAGCAGCAGTCTTGCGTTATACTCCATCTTTACAACCGGCTGAAGAAGCTCTTCTAATAGTCTATATGAGCAGTTCTCTCTCTCTGCTGATTTAAACCTCTGGCGACCAGCGTGAGGTTATATAAACATGCTTAGAAACAAACTGAGCTGCTCTCCTCCATTGCATCTGGGTTACAGACATGATTTCACAATATAACAGAAACATCACAAACAAAAAGACAAGGACTAGGCTGTATGACAGTCTGTGTGTGCATATACATTTATATATATATATTTACCGGCCGTTAAACGGTTTTAGCAAAAACAGGCAGTTATGACACCAACAATTCACAATTCTCTATTCTATTTTCAATACCACAGCGAAAACTACCAGCCTACTAATATACATTTAAAACATTATTAAAGACAAGTAAAAGTTGTTTTCAGGTAGAGACATTAAATAAAGTAATCAAAAGTAACTTTAAGGCTACGTTTACACTAGTGCGTGCCGTTCTCCCTGATTGGGTCTTCTGGATCATTACCCTTCCATGATTGGACAAGCCCCTATCATATGACCGTTCCGCTCCCAGAACACGACAATAACAGAGCAGCCTCGACGACAGTGTAAACAAAAACATGGAGACGGAACTGCAAGCTTTGCTGACTTTGTCGTCCTTTTTTAGCAGCCATTGTGCAGTTAAACTCTTATAGAGCAATCAACTGTTCACACGAGTCCGCACATGCCCAGTGTGTGCATGAATGGTCATGTGACGCGTTTTCGGTTGTATAGTGCGGACCGAGATCTTTTCTGAAATGCAGTGGAAATGTCAGTATGGACTAGGATCGGTTTCAGTTTAAACGAAAACGCACAAGTGTATAAGATAGCCTTTAAGACATAATCCACGGATCGAATACTAATACACAGGCATTGTGTTTCTCTACTGTTTACGCTCACTTAAAGGGATAGTTCACTTTGAAATCATTTTTTGGTATGTT